CCTCATCAGAATGAAGTCCGAGAGGCACCTCATCAGAATGAAGTCCGAGAGGCACCTCATCAGAATGAAGTCCTAGAGGTACCTCATCAGGAAGTAACGTCAGAGATACCACGTCAGAAAGGAACGGCTAAAGGCGTTCATCTGGTCGTCTGTGACTGCGATACATGTCACGAACGTTGAGAAGCGGGACTGGGATGATGGTGGACTTCATTTGCCTTCATATAACAGTCATCCTCTTGTGCAACTTTGGTGACGTCGATATTATTTCTGTAAAAAGATGATGGTTGTGGTAATGATCCAGAAGGTGAACCGTTCATTGTGCAGTGTATTGAGAATCGCGTTCCTCAAAACTCTTTCTACACACGTGACCCTACGCGCCTGTTAAAAGTGTTGGTTTAGCGCGGCGTTTTTAAGTTTCGTGTTTGTTCGTTCATCTTTACTCCAGGGCCAAAGGGGATGATCGTCAATGCATGCACTCTTTGGCACCATCATCTGCAAATTTTGATTGCATTATACCCGTTCCACATCGTCATTGTATGTTAATACAGAGGAACCAAACCAACTACCAACGATACCCACCATCCATTCCTTGACAACACATCATTCACCGCCAAAGGCATCATCCACAACATGTCATTTCCACGACGGGTTGCACATCCACCTCTATCCCGAGTCACAAATCCTAGCAATAATGGATCAGCAGGTGGAAGTAGACCGCCATCAAGACCTACGAGCAGATCGAATATGCATGCAGCATTCATGAATGCAGGTGTCAATACAAGCGGTCAGGCAGGCGGATCGAATTCAGAATCATCTTCCACCGATGAAGCATTCAACAGAGGAATAGCACCGGTATCACCTTCCAAAGAACGTACAAGAATGTTGGGAATACGATCTAATGGTGTTGGAGGAACGCTTTTTAAACAAAAAGGTGATGAAGAAAGTAACATTCAAGTAGTCGTACGTGTTAGAGGAATGGCACCAGGTGAAGCACCTCCAATACAGCCAATTTTATCCACTTCTGGACCGCATTGCTCTTCTATCAACGTTGCAATGGAAGTTCAACAATCTGCCTCTGCGGTCAATGTGGCGGCAAATAGCGTGCAGTCATCCTTGGTGGGAGATGGAGGAAACGTTCGTGAGAGATCATACCCATTCGATCACGTCTTTGGTCCTGAAGCGGATCAGGGAATGGTGTATCAAAGTGTGGTAGGACCGGTATTGAATGAAGTGATGAACGGCTACAATTGCACAGTATTCGCTTATGGTCAAACCGGAACAGGGAAGACGCATACCATGGAAGGAGATTTGACATCGCAATTGGGCACTTATAGTGCAGAAGCAGGAATCATACCACGCACACTTTACAGGCTGTTCCACACTTTGGAGCTGTCCAAAGATGAGTATAGCGTTCATGCTACCTTTGTGGAACTATACAATGAAGAATTACGTGATTTACTGAGCGATGAAGCACCTCAGCCATTGGGTGGCGGTAAAGATTCGGCGGGATTAAGGATGTATGAGGATAAAGGCAAAGGAGTCAACATTCAAGGCCTGGAGGATATTCCAATGCGGGATGCAGAGCATGGATTGAAACTTCTTCGTAAAGGTAGTCAAAAGCGACACATTGCTGCTACCCGGTGCAACGAATCGTCCAGTCGATCACATTGTGTCTTTACACTAACGGTTCATATCAAGGAGACCACATCAAAAGGAGAAGATGTATTGCGAACGGGAAAGCTGAACCTTGTCGATCTTGCTGGATCTGAAAATATTGGAAGAAGCGGAGCAGAGAACAAACGTGCAAGAGAGGCCGGAATGATTAATCAAAGCTTGCTCACGTTAGGCAGAGTGATCAATGCACTGGTAGAAAAGAGTAGTCACATCCCCTATAGAGAATCAAAGCTAACGAGATTGCTACAGGAATCGCTTGGAGGACGAACAAAGACGTGTATCATTGCCACTGTTTCATCAGAACGTTCAAATATGGAAGAAACGCTGTCTACATTGGATTATGCTTTACGTGCTAAATCGATCCGAAATCGTCCAGAGGTCAATCAGAGAATGACGAGAGCGGCTCTGATCAAAGAATACGTTCATGAGATCGAAAGGCTCAAAGGTGATCTTTTGGCTTCACGGGAAAAGAGTGGAATATTCTTATCCCCTGAAAGCTGGCAATTAATGCAAGAAGAACATGACGGAGCACGAAGTCAAGTGGAGGAGCTACGTCGGCATGGTGAAGTTGTTGAATCAAAGATGGTATCGTTGAAGGAGCAATTTGAGCAAAGTATGCAATTGCTACTCAAACGTGAAGCTGAGTCAAAGACAATTCGATCCGAATTTGAGCAGAAAGAGGAGGAATTACAACAAATTCTCGGTCAAATTGATGAATTGAAAAGGGCAGAGCAAGAAGAAAGGGAGCTCAGGGAGGCTTACATGCGCAGCGAGAAGCGTCTTGATGGTGTCGCACGCGGTTTGAGAGGAATGTTTTACGAAAGTGCAGGAGATGTTGATGGATTGTTTTCTAAATTGGACCGTAAAGCCAAGGTTGAAAGAAGGAATCGTGATTTGTTGGCCGAATGTCAAGCTTCTTTAGCGTCTATATCCAATCAGTTAGAAGCTCGAGTCACAGATTTCGGCTCAAGTCACGAACAATTCACCATGGATCTTTCAGCGCAATTGAGAGAATTCCAGGTACGCGAACAGGATAAACTTAAAGCAAATCGTGAATCGATCGATCAGAAGCTTCAGGCTCTTTTATCGCTTACTCGATCTATCTCTGCTGATCATCAACAGAACAAGGGTGCGATCGATGAGCTGGCAGATGCTATCCGACGAGAAGGAGATCGGTTCGTAGGGGCATGCCAAGAAAGAAGTGAGATGCTGCATTCGACCTGTCAATCACTTGTGCAGGATGTCTCTCAAAGTCATCGTGAATCTTTGATCGGCGTACGCGCGGGTATCGAAGAGATGGGTGAGATGTCGATGAATATCATCAAATTGGCAAAAGAGAGGGCTAACCAAGATAAGAAAGGTCTTGAAGACGTTCGTACGCTTTCTTCAGACACAATTCATCGAGAACTAGCACGACTTCAAACGCAAAACGACCAATTAGCCAAACTTTTGGTTGAGGAGCGGGAAAAATCGACCAACATGCGCGATGGCTTGTGTAAGAACATCAATCAGATGGTCATGAACTTCTGTCAACAACGTGAACAGACATTCTCTACTGCTATCGAAGCTGTCCGTCAAGGCAATGCAGGCGCACAGGATGACGTACAAACATTCTCCAGACAACATACCGATAAAGTGGATGAGATGCTCGAACGTAATCAAAGCGTTCGTGAAACATTGAAAGAGAAGGAAAGACTGGCCAAAGCACAAAGAATACGCAGTGAAGCAGGCTTGAATCAAAGTAGTGCGGCTATTGAACAAAAGATGCATGGATTCACCGGAAACTTTTTCACCGTTCAACAAGAAGATCTTGAACAAGCTCGTTCAACTATGCAAGCTATCTCTGGCAATGTGGATGGCATTCGCGAAGTGGCAGAATCATCTAGACAATCCGAATCGCGGAACGTACAATTGATGCGTAACGACATCGAAGAAGGTTTCACAGAAGCATCGATGGAAATTCAGTCAACATTGGAGGATGTCGAAGAAACGTGTGAAGTAGCGATCGAAGGAGTTGAAGAACAGAGGATGCTCGGAAACGCTTTCTTGGATGATACAAACGCACAATTATCAATGCTGAGATCAAATGCACAGACATATCTGACGTCCAAGCTACTCACGGATATGCCAACAGGAACAACGCCACAAAAGAGAGATTGGCCAGCGGTTGCATCATGGTCACTCGTTCAAAATTCAGCTCGTGGGATGGGACCATCTGGCCTATCAAATCTTGTTCAAGCAGATGATTCGATGGCATTTGTGAATGGCGATTTAGCCGAATTGGAGCAAGAGCGAGAAGAAGGTGTACGATATTCAGAAACAGTATCGGAAAAAGACAAAATCGCATCGACAAAACAGGTTCGCACTGCGAGATCCAATCACATCCCATCAAGCAGGGCTCCATCATTGCCGGTGAATATGCAAAGTGGATCCAATCAATCGATACCCCTTGCAGAAAAGCAGATCAATCGACTAAGCGTTGCATCTGTGCCTGGGAAAAAGATTGTGAAAAATACCATTCAACCCAATGTTGGAAGCAAATTGAGACAGCCTAACACTATTTCAGGCCAAAATGGAGGATCCGTTAAACGTGCAAGGCAATGATTACATCACTTTGTTATTATTATACCCTACTTCATCTATCATCATATACCTTGGAGACACCTCTGTACTTTATATTTGGTTGCTTGCGATGCTTATACCATCTGCTGACTATTAAGATCATTCGTTCGCGTTCCAATGTGACCTACGCGGTAAAGAATTTAAGCTCATCCGCTAAGCTGCTCATAATCTTCTCATCACTCCACCATCTCGGATTGTCATCTGACATAAAGGTGGAAGGGGAAGATGAAGTGAGTAGATGGTTAGGATGAGACTATATTCACTTTACTGACATATTTTGACTCTATTCAAAAGTAATGTGCGGGAAATACAGAGAATCAATGAACGTGAATTGGACTTAGCAGTGGAAGGAGCGGCTTCTTGGCATGATGATTACAGAGGTGAGTACAATTCCCCAAAGGTGTGTATCATTCAGAGAAACTGACCTAAGTACCTGCATCGCACTACAGATTCGGCTTACATCTTTGTCGGTAATTTGGACAAACGTCTAACGGAAGGTGATGTGATTACAATCTTTTCACAATATGGCGAAATAATGGATATCAACCTTCCTCGGATTCCCGAAGGAGGCTTACGACATCAACGTGGAATGGATGCAGAAGGAGAAGCAAGATTGACAAACGATCAAAAACAGCAACAACAAGGTGGTAAACCTGGAGATAGAAGAGGGTTTGGGTTTATACTTTTTGAAGATCAAAGGAGTACAATCTTAGCAGTGGATAATTTGAACGGATTTCAACTTTTAAATAGAACCTTACGAGTTGATCACGTTCGTGATTATAAAATGCCAAAACGAAGGAATGAAGATGGGGAAGTAGAAGAGCCAACTGGACCAAGCAGAAATGCAGCACCTCAAATACCACAACCAGAAGCTCGACAACAAGAGACAAATGATGATGATGAAGGTGACATGGATGACCCGATGGCAGCATATATTGCCCGATCGAAGTCTGCTTCCTATAAAGGTGAGGATGATGACAAGGAAGAGCGAAAGAGAAGGAAAGAGCAGAGAAGACTGATTCGCGAGGAAAGAGAAAGAAGGCGAAAAGACCGGGATTCGCGAGATTATAGACATGATCGAGAAGACGAGAGATATAGAAAGGAGAGGCAAAGCCACTCCCGAACTGACAATGGCTCAAGTAGTCGCCGCGAAAGAGAGCTTTCACCAAAGCGCTCCCGCGATGATAGAGACCATCACAGAGACTCAGATCATCGTTCCAGCAATCGCGAACGAGAAAGAAGATCAAACTCAAGACGGGATTAGGCTTTTGTACCAACTGTCATATTAATGTGTTCACATTGTATAATATCATCAATCTTTACAACTTTGTGCTTCCCTTAGTGTAGCGGTGACCATGGTAGAGGCGTCATGATTTGTGCATGCATTTTGTCGATCAATTTGACTGTTTGGGTGACGGTGTCATTCCATGTTTCCACCTGCCAAGCTGCATCACGAGTTGCTTTACGTTGCTCTAAGCTATCGTATCGCCAGATATGTTGGACAGTGTGCAATTGACCGATTTGACTAAAGTATGCTGCAATAGGCTGAACAAATCGTTTACGTGCCTCCAATCCTCTGCGCCAATTCGTTTCCCATTCCAATAGCATGCCTGGTTTCAAGTGATATGTTCGTAATTCGTACAACGGTCTTTCCACATCACTCTTTTGCGCCTTTACAGTGGCCCAGAATGCGAACTCTTGCGTGATCCAGTTAGAGCGAGAAGAAAGGGTTGCTCGCACATTTGTAACCAAATCGGTGTTCTCCTTTGATTTATAGAATGCATCAGATGATTGATCATAGCCAGAGTATCCATCATATTCCCAAATGTGGTAGAAAGTTTCCATTTCTCCGATTTGCACTTCGAATGAACCAATCAAGCGACCATTAATACTGTCATCTGACGAAAGCCGAGGATAGTGTTGACTTAGAATGCTCTTGTATTCGTCCACTTTATCCGGTCTTACAACGTGTCTTTGAATCTCGTGAATGTATTTTCCTCTACCGACGGTTGTACTGTGTGATTGTGCTGTCAAGCCATCTTGTTTTGCTGTGTCGGAGCCATGCAATAAAGAAGCAAAAAGTCCTTGTGCTTGCTTTGGCTTTTCTTCTTCTTCTTTGCAACGTACGGATGAGCTTGAGAATTGGCGTGAACGGAGATTGCCGATCACGTTTGGACTGATTGCCTTTTGCACAGATGGTATTTTCACGTTCGCTCTTAGAGCACTGTGATGAGCCGATAAGATTGCACCGGCACCTCGTCTAACAGCCATACTATCGTAAGTGAGAGAGAGACGGATGATGGTATGAATAAAGGTATGCTGCTCTTCATTGTGCCCTTTACGCCTTGCCCTCCCTTCCCCAGCTTCGCTCGGGCCAATTGACACAACCCACATCTTCAACACTGCTTTAGTGCAATGATTTATTTAAGCGTTAATGATAAACGCGCCACGCATTTCTTCTCGGAACTTAAGCCCATTGAATGCTTTGGTCACCATCATAGAATTCTTCAATACAGTCAAAATTCTCACGCTGTTGATGGAGATTAAAAAGAATAAGGGCACTGCCCTAATGCAATGCAAGAAGAACCAGATATTCTCCGAACAGAACATCTGCAAGGCGTTTCCATAATGAAATCATTTTAATTTCCGAGATCAGATCCACGGCAAAATTGAATATATGCAGCTTGCACCCCTTTTATCTTGACCATATATCTGGAAAATATATTAAGGGTTAAGGTCGGACCTCTTGCGCGGGATCATTCATTCGTCGATATGACAAATACAATGACCTCACAATCGTGAATCTACGGATACATTTGTCCATAATGAATGAATATAAAAGAAAGTGAATATCTTTAATGCTTCAAGATTGCTTTCTTGAAATCCCGCATTCATCTGCATTGTTGGTCGTGATGTCGCTATATTCTCACAACTTTACACTTCTTCCGAGACCTCCACGGTCGCCTTTATCATGGGGAAGCGAAAGTACAAGAGCAGTTCTACCCAACTTTGACAGCGTTGAAGAATTACAAGATTTTGTTAGACGGTTCTTTGTATACGATTTTGGAAATGCAGTATTCTTGCAAATCAAGATTGGGATCGCAATGGCAGGAGCAATGTTATTAGTCTCTCTTTTGATTATTGGACGCCGAATGTACGAAAGGAATTTTTGGATCTTTCGAGTTATCCGAGTTTCATCAGGGCCAATTATCGTCGTGAGTACTTATGCAGTACACAAAGATGCTGAAAATACTTACACTTTTTTCTCCATCACCCGCACAGCCCAACCCAATCCTTTCATTTGGTTTCATTGAAGGGAACTTCGTCATTGTTTTCATGGCTTTGCTGATTATAGCCTTACAATATCACGAATACCATACTCTGAAACCGGAGAATCTCATCCTATGGATTTCATTACCCTGGTGCATCACCATCTTTGGTGCAATATTTGCTGCTGTCGGGACTCATTACGCTACTCCAACAAATCAGCTACCGTCATCTGGCAAAGCAGTCGGAGATCTTTCGAGGAGATGGAAAAGTCTAATGAAGAATGCTTGGGTCATCAATGGAATCGCTGTTGCACTTCCTGCATTTATTTGTGTGACCGTCGCAGTTCCAACGTTTATATCAAATGCAATCTTTCAAAAAGCCAATCACCTTCACACTCAATGGGAAACAAAGTATGCAGACTATACAATGTTTACACAAGACATGGTAACAGAGGCTCAAGTTATTTGGTATACCTTGTTACGAAGCGTACTCATTGCTTCTGCTGTCTTCTGCCTTTGGTTCGTTTGGGCTTCGTTCTGCTTCATCATCTGCACTCTTTTATCCTTGCGATTATTGCGTACCATCAGCGCGGAACTTTCAAGAAGCAACATGTTTGCACCCAACTTTGTCGTTACACAAACAAGAATGATTATGAGCAATCGTGCTTTGAAGAGGGAAGAACGCCTCACAGAAACACAGCAAAAAGTCTCTACGCCTTATAAGGCACAAGGAAGACGGAAATTGCCAAGAGGGAATCACTCGTACTTTTTGCACAGCACAAACTCATTTCCAGCTCAAGTACGGACACCAGGAGAGACTTTTCACAATCCTCAACAATCTGAGGATAGTCTCGCAGCATGGAATAGCAATGAGATCATTTGGCGAGATCGGGAACAGGATCCTGAGGATAATTTAGAGCGAACTGAAACATTAACAGGTGATGTTTCTCTTAACAAACCCACGGAAGCCATTCAGGAAGAGCCAGTGCGTGTACAGGGAAACAGAATGGCTTTTATCAGAAGATTGATCCCGAATATCGTCATGACGACGGAAAAAGCGCAGAGCAATGCAGTTGAAACAATGGTTTCTTCGCGCGACGAACAAAAGAGGGAGCTTCGGAAAGCAGCGATACACATCTTTACGCAATATGCAATCGTTGGACCAGGCTGCGCTACCTTTGGCGGAATCGCTCTCATGATGGGATTGGTACTACATGGATCGTTCGAGCAACCTTCTAATGGCGGAACAAAATTTGAGTTCTTTGGAGCGCTTGCATTATTGGTGGTCATGTATGCAGTTTCCTTTTTTGGTTGGGTTTGTGCAGGTGCAATCTTCCATCGAACATACGAGCCAGTCTTTGTCAATTATACGGCATCAACAACGGTATCTTCCTTTGGTATCTCAGATTTATCAACGACGGACTCTTCTAAATCTAAGCTACAAGACTTTATCCGTGTCGGTGGAGCCGATCCAAAGGTGCGAAATAAGATTCGTTACCCACAAGCAATGGTGAAAAGTATGCTAGACAATACACCACAGGAGATCCTAGCCCTGAAAGGAACAAATGTCAACGATATTTCCCATCAAAATAACCAGTTAAACAATTCACATTTTCATTTTCATGTTCCCACGATGAGCCCGCCAATTATGCAAGAAGGACAACATCAGCCTAAACGAGCAATTGACCGTCAATATTCGAATAACGAACTACGCAAATCGGAAAACAGGTACAAGAGCATCAAAAGGGATCAACAAAGTCACTTTGATGTAGAACCTGAAGAAGGCGAGCTAGTCAACAATTCAGTGCTTGTCGTACGAAAAGGAAAGAATCGGCAACCCGTTCGGCGCATCTGACCCACAATATGGGTAATGGATATGGGAATAATTGACATCTTGTATTTCATTCGTTACAATCACTCATTCAAAGAACCAGTATAATATCTAACTATCTTTTTACAATTCAAAAAATTCAGCCTTGGAAAAGTTGATCGGGTGCGCTAAAAGGGAGGGCTAGTGCACTGCATGGGAAGGTGTGAATGTCTGAGATGAGGTCATGGGTGAGCAGGCTGTCGCGCTTTGACCGCTATGATTAGCTTTGCTTTTACGGTGAGTGAATTGTCAACGTTTTTTGATTAGTGCTTTGACAGACATCATGATTAGGTTTTTGATGGGCATATCCTTCTTTCCGCGGGGAACAGAATTGCTTGGCAGGTTAAATTGGACTTGTGAAAAAAGTATAAAATGCTGCAATTATTTGCTCCCGTTGCTTGACAGATTTCCCAATTGAGAACAAAAATGTCTCTTTACACACATTCTTTCCAATACTTACCTCCTCCTCCAAGGTCTGCGTTCTCATGGGGAGCAGAAAGTACAAGGGCCAAATTGCCGGATTTTGTCGATGTGAACGAATTGCAAGAATTCGTTCTTCGCTTGTTCATTTATCGATTTCAGGTCACGCATATCACTCTACAGATCCTCGTTGGAGTTGCGTGCTTGGGATTTCTGATAGTAATTTCAGCTTTGATTATCGCAAGAAGAATGTACGAGCGAAACTTTTGGATCTTTCGTTTAGCCAAAACGCCTTCTGGAACGATTATGGTACCAAACACGATGTTATCATTTATCGTGATCGAAAGTGGATTCGTGGTTGTTTTGATTGCGTTTTTATCGGAGATCAAGGATTATTACAGCTCAGATCCTAATCAAGTCAAAAACATCATCCTTTGGATTTTATTGCCTTGGTGCATTTTAATTTTTGGCCCATTCTTTGCTGCTTTAGGAACGCATTATGCAACTCCTCGGACAATGGAAAGCTTAACAGTAGAAAGGAATAGTGGTACGAAAAGATGGTTAAAAAGTTTTCTCTCCAATGCTATCCTTGCAAATATTTTGGCAATCGTAATTCCATCGTTGACGTGCATCACGGTTGCTGTTCCTGCCTTTGTTGCCAATGCAAGCTATATGCGAGCAAAAGAACACCAAGAACAATGGCTAAGACAATATCAAAATGCGACCCAATTCACACAAGAAATGGTAACAGGAGCACAAATGGTTTGGTATGAAACTTTGCCGAGTTTGCGTCTTACTTGCATCACGCTTTGTATTTGGTTCTTTTGGGCAATCTTTTGTTTCTTCTTGTATACCACTCTTTCTCTTCGTTTGATTAGAGCGATTTATAAAGAAGTGAAAAAGACCAAAAGAGAAGAAATGCTATTCATTGCCACTCGAACACAAAATTCACCTTCTCAAGATCAAAGAAAGTCAAAGAAAGCTATCACACAAACACAAAAAAATCCAGAAAATGAAACAATTCAACAAAATTCAGGAGAAAGTATCGAGATGAACATACGACCTGCATTCAGATTACCTGGTATAAGGGAAGAACAAGAACAAGGAAATCCGTATCAAATAAGAAGTATTGATACAATGCAATATGATCTACAAAGTGCCCTCAATTTGGATGCTTTTGAACTTAGTAGACGTGAATCTTTGCAAGTTCCATCTGACGCAAATGCAAGGACGACATACCCAAAATCTCCGCAAGAGAAGGCAAGATCTACGTCACGATCCAGCTTCATAATCGACAGTACCGCAAGCGGAAGCGAGAGCAAGTACATGAAAATACGGATGCCACATCTGGTTATCACGCAAAGAAAGTTGGATAAAAGAAGGAAAGAAAGTATGATAGCCTCAATCGACGAGCAAAAGAGAGAACTTAAAAGGGCAGCTTTCAACATACTCGCACAATGTTTAGCAATCAGTCCAGGATGTGCACTCATGGGAGGAATCGCATTGATGCTTGCTTTAACGATTTATGGTGGTTTTGAACAACCTTCTCAAGATCGAACAGGAACGTATTTTGAACGTTTTACCGGTATTGCAATCTTGTTTGTGATTTATACAATTATCACTTTTGGGTCAGTTTGCTTCTTGTGTGTCTTCTTTCGCGTGTACGAGCCAATCTTTGTCAAGAGCGGTCATTCGTCAAGGGATACGGAGTCTAGGGAAACAATGATTGACAGAAACCCAGAAGAAGAGAGTTGAAATTCCTTTGAGCCAATTAAGATGGTCACACACTCTTTCATACAAGCCTAACTTCCATCAACCATTTTACACAAAAACTGTACACACTCTTTTTTACCAAATCTCAATGACATGTATATTTCTCAATCTTTTATTGCTTGGGGGTCATGCAGGAGAAGGTCGCGTTGATGTCTTCGGTGCCTTGATGGTGAAATGAAGTGGTCTCAATAAAACGGAGCCGCTTACATGCCTTCCCCAAATTAAGTTTTAGTTTTCGGCTTATCGAACGTCAACGATTTATATATATTACAAGCAGGGCTTTGCTGCATGTTGTATGCACCTCAATCTTCTTCCGCTTCTTTAACTTTAATAAAGCACAATCAGTGGATCAACAGTGATAAGTCAAGTGACCTTCATAGTCTCTATTTCAATCGACACTCAGTGGAGTGTAGGATGATCAACGGCTTGCCACGGCTCCGTGTTATGAGCTCAATTGAGAACGAAACAGCAGGAAGAATTGACACGGGGATTCTTATTTTCAACTCCTACAACGCCTTCTTCTTTCTTTGAAATGTCTTGAAAGAGAACTTTAAGCATCCTGCAGATCAATTGATGTTCGGGCGTTCCTCAATGAGAGAAATTGAGAAGGCAGTGAAGATTGCAAAGCAGGCAAGATGAAATCTTTCTTTATAAATGATAAAATTCCTTGCCATCATCATTTCATTCCCACTACTAACCCATCTTCCGTTTTCATACCAACACACAACAACACTCATTTGAAGACATGTCTCTTTACTCGTTCAATTTCGATCTCCTTCCTCCTCCGCCAAGGTCCCGACTTTCATGGGGCTCAGAATCAAGTAGGGCAAAATTACCAGATTTCAAAAACGTGGAAGAATTACGGCAATTCATGACAAATCTGTTCATCTTTCCGTTTCCAATCCCACACCTCATGCTTCAGATGAAAGTAGGAGCGGGAGTTCTATCGTTACTGCTACTCGTTTATCTGCTGATTATTGCAAGGAGGATGTACGAAAGGAACTTCTGGATTCTTCGTATTTTCAAGACACCAACTGGATCGGTAATTGCTCCAAATACGATTCTAGCTTTCATCGTGATAGAAGGTGCTTTCGTAATAGTCTTTATTGCAATGATGTTGGAATTACGTTACTATTACATTGTGGGCTCCGACAAACCGAAGAATATACTTCTTTGGATCTTACTTCCTTGGAGTATATTAATCTTTGGCGCATTCTCCGCTGCTTTAGGAACACATTATGCCACACCAAGAAGTCCTACAATTTCCAGAAAAGATGGCAAACATACTTTCAAAACCTTTTTGGCTAAGATCGGGGGGCATGCCATCACTGTCAACCTATTGGCAATTTTCATACCCGCCATCACTTGTATTTCTGTGGCCATACCTTCTTTCATTGCAAACGCACGGCAGGTTAAAGGATGTGATCGTGAAAAAGAATGGCAACTGAGATATGCCAGCGAGGAGCATTTTGATCAACAAATGGTTTTGGAAGCACAACATATATGGTATCAACAGTTAAAAGCCATAAAGATTGCATCAGCGACTTTTTGCCTTTGGTCCTTTTGGGGATTGTTTTGTTTCGCATTATATACAGCTCTTGCTCTTCGTCTGATTAGAGCGGTAAAAATCGAGCTTGGCAAGACAGAATTAAAACAATTGAAGTTCATCGTTACAACAATATGCGCAACATCTTCCCACAGAGATCCAATCCCAGCAATGAGACCAGAACAGCCCGATCCAAACTTTCTTCATGTTGTTGATGCTAGAAGAGAACATCACATAAGCTCTGAGGATGCTTTTGTCAATAGACTGCCGCTTTGGTCAGAGACTGGAAGCGGTGCGAGTGTTTCTCATGAAGGTCAACATTCACATTCTGGTTTGCGAGATCTTGGTTGTACTGTTATAGTCGAACATATTCCCCAATCTTTGGATCAGTGTATTCATGAATTGGTTGTTCATCAAGATACATGCGATAGTATTCATTCGGCAAGATCAGTTCATGATGAAGACAAGGAGCACAAAGACGAAGATTCTTCAACCTTCACTCAAGCAATCAAATCTCGGCTCAAATTGCCCAATTTTATCATGACACAGAAAATGATTGATAAAAGACGAAAAGAAAGTATGCAATTTTCAATCAACGAACAAAAGATTGAACTTAAAAAAGCAATGGTTAATATCGTCATTCAAACATTGGTGATCAGTCCCGGTTGTGCTTGTTTAAGTGCAATCGTATTGATGTTTGGTTTGACCTTTTTTGGTTCATTGGAACAACCTACTCCAAATCGAATTGCAACTTACGCTCAACGGTTTGCAGGGATCGCTTTATTGGCTGTCTTGTATACAATCATTCTTTTCGGTTCAATTTGCGCTGTCTGTGTCTTCTTTCGTGTATATGAACCAATCTTCGTCAAAAATGCAGACAATGAGAGTAGGAATAGGCCAACATCGACTATTCTAAGTGAAGGAGATCAATAGCGGCGATAAAGGCCGAAATATATAGGCTGGACCTGGCTTCTTTATGTATATCACACATTCGTTGCTCAAAATCATTTCAAAAGTGACTATCCTTCGCTTATCAAATCCACTCTTTGTATCACTCGAAAATAATAGTATGTTTCATCGATGAAAGTTTTGCTTGCATTGCATTAAAAGGGAGACAGAAACAGGAATCTATTGTTACAAACATATCTATGAAGATGACATGATTTTCTAGCAGACCGCTTATAGCCACTCAATCGTTCCTGGTGGCTTGGATGAGATATCATACACAACTCGGTTCACACCTTGAACTTCATTAGTGATTCGGTTTGAGACGGTGGAAAGGAAATCATAGGTGAACGGATACCAGGTTGCAGTCATGAAATCGGTTGTTTGAACAGCACGCAAAGCTACCACTTGATCATATGTTCTCTTATCACCTTGTACACCAACTGCACGTACGGGCAATAAAACGGCAAATGCTTGACTGATTTCGTTGTAGATTCCAGCTTTACGAATTTCTTCAATGTAGATCGCATCAGCTTGTTGAAGGATTTCCACTTGAGCACGAGTGACAGGGCCCAAGATGCGTACAGCTAGACCGGGACCAGGGAAGGGATGTCTTCCGACCAAGTGAGCGGGGATACCCATCACTTTACCCAATTCACGTACCTCGTCCTTGAACAATTCTCGCAACGGCTCAATGAGTTTCAATTTCATATTTTCTAGCAATCCTCCGACATTGTGATGTGTCTTAATGGTTGCACTTGGCCCTTTGAAGCTGATGCTTTCAATCACATCGGGGTATAGTGTTCCTTGCATCAAATATTCGTATTTGCCTTTTGCTTCATGCTGTCTTCCCGCCTTCAGTGCTTCAGCTTCTTCTTTTTCAGCTTGTGCTTCTAGCTTGGTAACCTCTTCATCGAATACGTTGATGAAAGTATTTCCAATGATTTTACGTTTCTTTTCTGGATCATCAACGTTTTCCAGGCGACCCAAGAATAGATCGCTTGCATCTACTACTGTCAGATTAACACCCAATCCTTTCGAGAGCATTTCATATACCTGCTTTGCCTCTCCACCACGCAAAACACCATTGTCCACCATTACTGCATGGAATCGATCGCCTAGTGCTTCATGCATCAATTTCGCAGCAACAGAGCTATCCACACCTCCTGAAATGGCACCGATCACACGAGCTTTTGGTCCGACCAATTCACGAATACGTGCGATTTCTTTGTCAATAAATGTTTCCATGTTCCAATCTTGCTTGCATCCACAGATCTTTGTGACAAAATTGCCAAAGAGTTCCTTTCCACGAGGGCTATGAGTTACTTCGGCATGGAATTGAATACCAAAGATTGGTTTGGATTTGTGAGCCAAAGCAGCAAATGGAGCTGTTGAAGTACGAGCGATCACTTCAAAGTCTTCGGGACATTTCGATAGCTGGTCTCCGTGTGACATCCAAACTTGAACCTGTTCTGCTTCTCCGTCAAACAAACGATCAGCATGGGCATTACCGGTTTTGACAACATCGATCATCGCTTTACCATATTCGCGTCTATCATGAGGGTCCACTTTTCCGCCGAATGTCCAAGCGATTTCTTGTAAGCCATAACAGATACCCAGAACTGGGACACCCAAATCGAAGACTGCTTTATCCACTCTTGGTGCTCCATCATCGTAGACACTGAAAGGCGAACCTGATAAGATGACACCCTTTGGCTTCCAATCCAATTCAGCAATCTTCTGGGTGCATGGAAGCATTTCACAATACACGTTCAATTCACGACATCTTCTGGCGATCAAGTGACTGTATTGCGATCCGAAATCGAGAATCAAGATGGAATCGTATTGCGAATGAATCGCTTCTGCTGATGCTACACCCATTTTGAATGATGGTCTTTATTCGTTATGGTCCCAATGATAAATGCTATCTTCTCATGGACACTTTTTTTTTGAAACTCTAAATTTTTTATCAGGAAGAAAGAATTGGGAGGTAGAGCAGTCTAAAAGTACCATTGCAAAATACGCGTTTTGGAAATCTTCTTAGTCGAAGAATGACTCCAGATCTTTCGGCCGACGAAGAGCAGAGCTGACTGACGCGTTTCAACAGGAAGACCCGATTAACTTTGACATACATCTAACGCGCCCGCGCCCCCTCTCATTCAGCCCACAGTATGCATGCCAGCAAACGCCTTGCGCCTGTCTAATGCAACACGTTGCTCCTGAAAGTATCCTCTTCAAAGCATTTACAACTGATTGACAACGATCGACCTGTCCTGACCGGTGTGTCATACTGACCTCCTCTTGAACGCTATACGCATTCACTGGCCTGCAATTCTTAGCAAGGTTTCTTACGTTCAACCACCACCCCAGACATACAAGTAATTTACTCCGCCATTCCATATCAATCGACCATCATGGATTTCGAAGATATCGGCAACAAGCTTGCCAATTTGACGATGTACGATGTCAAACAATTCTATACAGCAGCCAAGAACTATGCTTTGAATGTTTCAGAAATCGAAGCCAAGGTAAACGAAGCAACAAATGATGATGCTTGGGGAGCATCATCTACTCTAATGCAAGAGATCGCATCAGCAACGAACAATTTTCAAGATTTCAATGAAATCATGCCTGCAATCTATCGTAACTTCATGGAACGTGAAGCGAGAGAATGGAGACAGATCTATAAAGCACTTCAATTGCTCGAATATATTATCAAGCATGGATCAGAACGTGTGGTAGATGATGCTCGATCACACCTTGGTACAATTAAGATTTTGCGCAACTTTCACTACATAGACGATGCTGGTAAAGATCAAGGAATCAACGTTCGTAATCGTGCAAAAGAGATTGCTGAGCTTTTATCTGACGTTGAAAGAATTCGTCTAGAAAGACGTAAGGCAAGACAAAATAAGAGCAAGTATCAAGGTGCTGGTAATTCAGACTTTGTCCCAGGAAGTGGAACGGGAAGATATGGTGGCTTTGGAAGTGATTCCTTCTACTCAGGAGGTGGTGGTGGGGGCTCAGGGGCTTACGGCGGTGGAAGTAGTAGCGCCGCTCGGGGCAGCGATGATTACGGTCGACGTAGCACGCAAAGGGACAGCTTTGAAGCGTATGATGCAGGAGATGACGAATACGCTGCTTCGAGTGCCACCAGACCTTCTGGTCGCTCTGGTAGATCGGGCGGTCGTAGTGGAGCCGCACCCGCACCTGTCAAAAAGGAAGAAAAGGTGGCCGATCTCTTCAGCTTTGATGATGATGAACCTGATCAAGCACCTGTTATTTCAACTTCTGCCGCCGCAAGTGTAAGCAAGCCAAGTACATCAGGTGATGGCTTTGATGACTTTGATGATTTCCAAGCTGCTCCTTCAGCGCCTGCACCTGCAAAGCAGACCAAACCTGTATCGAGTGGTTCCAACGTATTTGACTTTTTAGGAGATGATGCAGGTAGCTCGGCTCCAGTTGCTGCACCAAAAGTCAACGCTTCCTTTACAAGCCCTTCTGCAGGAGCACCATTACAGCCACAAAGGACGATTTCATCTTCCAGTGTATCAACAACTTCAAAGCCAGCCGGTAACGGATCCTCGACAGGAAAGACGAACGCATCGATCAACTTTGATGATTTATGGGCAACATCTTCCGGCAAATCGAATGCAAGCGGTAATACGACTGCAGGTAAAGGTAAAATGACAATGGCAGAGATGGCAGCACAAAAGAGTCAAAGTGCTGTTTGGGGTAATTCAACACCAAACAATAACGCTGGAAAGGCAAAAGATCCATTTGACTTCCTCTCATGAGCCGTTTTTATCTTTGTAATCGTTCTTGCGCAGTCAATGATTTTCTGCTTGAATGTGGAAATTAACGCTGCTGCAAATTGCAATTTATCAGTATACATGAGATGTAGAATGGTACACATGTTAGAAGCATTAAGAGGAAAGAGGAAAGAAGAAAACCGAGAGATAGGAAAAGTGGTAGTGGGCGAACTTTCGCAATAGTGTACAAGCACGCTCCTCAGGAGAGAGAGAGAGCGACCTCACTTTTTCCTACTCTGATATGATTGGTGAGATTGTTGATTAAGGTCTTGATATGGATTTTGCTGACCGGGCGGCGGGGGGATTGACCAATCATTATTTGTTGATATTAAAAAGGGGCTTGATTTCTGTTGAACGTTTGATTGGCTTGTGTTTTGAGTGCTGCCAGATGATCCTCCCGGTAAAGTAGTCCTGTGAGGTGCATGGAGCGAGACAGGCATCCAATTGGCAGGCAAGCCAGCAATTTGCGAACTAGATTCTGGATTAAGCTCAATGCTTTGAGGGTTTGTATCCTGCTGTGAGACCATCTCTGCATTCGATGGTACTTGAGGACGAGAGAGACGGTATTGCTGTTCGGCAAAGTTGATCTGCTGAAACTGTTGTGATTGCATTGGTTGATTTGATGAACCTGTTCTCGTGGCCGTCAATTGATCGTTTGCACTCCAATTATGTCTCTGATTTGAAGGGATATTTCCAGGTAAGCCAGGAACTGAAGGTTCCTGAGATTGTCTGCCTGTTTCATTGCTGAATTGTACCATTGACATAGCCGATGATGCAGATGGATTGGGAGAATTTGGATAAGTTGAAACGGTTGCCCTTCTTTGTCTTCGTGTTTCTGCAGCTTCCGAATAAATGCATTGAATCATCCTTCTTGCGCATTGTCTACAAGGCGTATTACCATCACAACGTAATTTACGCATTCGACAAAAATTACATGCTGCCGGTACTCTTCTATGGGTTATATTGCGATAAGGATTTGAGTTTGATAGGGACGATGATATGGGATTTGAACTCGTTCTTGGATAATTTGATAAACCACCACCGAGCGGATATTGAGGACGCGCAAAAGATTGATTCATTCCTGGCCTACTTTCATTACGTTGGAAGTGCAAGCTTTGCTCCTGTGACGGTGCAAGATTGTATGTCTGATTCGCGAATGCGAAGGGCATACCTGTCATCGAGCCAGCTGGAGGACCCGTAAAAGGAGAGCCTGTTCTTTGATTGTTTGCGCCATAGTCAATTTGACTTTGTGCAGGGAATTGAAAGGTGTTTCGATTAGAGGAAGAGATCTGTTGCTGTTGTTGTTGTTGTTGTTGCTGTGCTTGTTGTTCGGGCTGAAAAGATATTTGTTGTTGAGATTGCATAGATCCAACAGGCAACAATGTTGATCCGCTTATACTTCTTGACATTTCTCTTGCATGGAAAGCCGCCACTTCAACCGATGAAATCGTTAAAGGTTGTTGTAATAACATTTGTACTTGAGAATCACTCAAACTTCCACTTTCACCACCGTAATTATTCTCTGAAGCAGCACTGCTGCTTGCTCCTCCTGTTGGAATCATGAACGGTGACATGGCTACGGGTGATTTTGTAGGCTCAGAAATTGAAATGGATGCTGAGTGAGATCGGAAATTTGTTGTATCGGCTGAAGTTGCATATTCGTTTGGCTCAACAATATCGCCATAAGTAGATTGAAAAGGATCCCGTCCACTTTGAATTTCTGTTGTGATTAAATTATCGTTATTTATCGGTATAACAGACGAAGGCGAAGAAGCAAAAGATGGAAATTGAGTAGGTGTAAAACGTGATTGCAAGAATTGATCTTGATTATGCGGTATACTACCCGTCGTATAAAGAGGAGCAGCATTTGAGAATTGATCTGATTGTTGTACAGCAGCGATAGAATATTGATCGTTTTGACCAAATTGTTGAAATTCAGAAGGAGAAACACGCTGTCGCTGCTCGATCTGAAATTGTTCTTGCGATAAATTTTGACGATAATTGGTTGTATGGAATTGATTAGGATTAAAGTTGTCGTTAAATTGATTGGATCCTTGTTGATTATTTTGTGCCATCCTTTTGATCACCTAGTTCGAGCTTTCGAACTGTTTTGCCATCGTATCATTGCGAGGTTTAAGTTACGAACGAATATCGTTGTGGTCATATAATAGCCCTTGTTGGGATCTTGGCAATTTAAGCAAAGTTGACGTTTATTTATTTAAATTTCCGTGAGTGATAGATTTGCAACGGGCCACACTCGCTTAAGGGGAAACAGTATAGTGTATATATCTTGACGGGATGTTTAGTTTTCGGGTGAGGTTTTATTGAACAGGAGAATATATTACCACCCACAACATTCTTGTGTGTTTATCTCTTTTGTTGGATGGTGGAGTCGTGTGAAAAAGTGGGGACAAATGCAGTACCAATGTTCCGAAATTGAAGGATATACAAACATATGTAGATCAAATCAGCCTGCTTTTCTCGGAAGACAAGAGACTGATGAGTTGCAATTCCTTCCGATGTTCCTGTCTGCTGTGAACTGCTCTCGTTATTCTTCCTAAGAAAGCCCCTTGAATGAAAACGGCATGGTTCGACATTTCAAGACTGGAATCGTAAAATTGTTTTGAGCGGTTGTTAAACTGCCTAGGATCCGCATTTCCGAATTTGCGAAAAGGGAAGGAGGAAGCCGAAAAAGTGCAGATGCAATCAAAGTCACACAAGGTACACTTGGCATTTAGGCTCTTAAATGTGTATATGTACGATCATGCACGATTCACTTGTGCTTCTTCGTGGGATCGATGAGAATACAACATATGCATACAAAGCGTCAAAAGTGATGGAAAGATCCGCTAATAAGAACTAAAAAACAAGATGTTTTATCTTGTCTTTCGCTTTAATTAAATGCACTCTTACTTTATAGCTCAGCGTACATAATCTTATCCTTATCATCTGACACTGAAATTATGCCAAACAAATATATAAAAGTGAAACCTTATTCGGCTACTATTTCGTATTGTTATATTTATATCGTTATATATTTGATCTCTTACCGAAAATTGTGGCTGTTTGATAAAAATAAGCATAATCATTCGATATTCAAGTCAATTACATAGTCCGACAAGGGAAGTGATCACCGATTTCCTTTCTTTCAGAGCTGTCCATGTGCTCAAAACTAAGCGGAGATTCAATACCAACAGCCGATTTTAGGTTTTAAATAAATGCGCTGCAAAGTGAGCATGAGAAAAAAAAAAGGGTTGAGCAGATTATGGTACGAGAAATTAAGAATTCTAGAAAAGATGAACGAATTGACCCAATCATTTTTCATCTTGCATTTTGCATGTACCAAACAGTTTCCAATACTTCTCCTTCGCTAAAAAAACTGAATTTCATCGTACTACATACTTAGCGTTCCCGTCCTTTAATTAGACATTCAGCATCCTAGCGTGACGCTAAATGTGAGCCCATTCAGCCACTGAAGAAGTGTTGGCAATCTAGATTAAAAAGAAGGGTTTCTCTCTCTTTACGTCATTCACTTGACCCCTCTTGTCATTTAAGACAAACACTTCTGTCTCTTGTACCTCAATCAATGTCGATCATTATGGACATCATAAAAATGCACGCTGGCTGGCATAATGAGAAAAGTGGGGATAAAAAAAGTATAATTAAGAACGTCCTGCAGCAGCACCTGCACTGTCACTTGTATTGAACCCACACCACACACACAACCCAACCGCTCGCTTACTCTGAATCCCGTCTTTTGGACCCACATCGCCGGAAAAATAATCTGCAAAAGTTGTTTCTTTTAATGAATTTAGTAGAGATCTCATCGTTTTCCATCGATAAATATTCATGATTAGATAAAAGATCGTTTCTGTTAGTTCACTCTTTGGTTCTTTATGCATCATCGTACTTGCTATGATTATATAAGCACGCTTTGCATCTCTTTAAGGACGAATGGCCTTTATAGCGACCATGATCGGCTATGATGAAGGAAGGAAGGATGATGGCATTTGTTGCAATGACAGTCAGCGGATTGTATTCATATTTGACGCCCAAAATATATGCGGCGCCCTGTACGGCTGTAGGATTGTGCTGTGTGTGTGAAAGGTACACGTGTAACATTTGAATAGAGATTAAGCTTCTGGGGTATACACCACCAACCATCAGTCACCCATCACTATATCAAATCATAACATGTCTAGAAGACCTGGAGCAGGAGTGAATGATCGACATACACTTCTTTCATCAGCTGCTTATCCATCTTCATATCGTAATGGACAGGCTGGACCAAGTACGGTAGGAGGTGGTGGAGGTATTGGAAGTGGATTTCGTAACGTATCCACATTCGAACAACCATATGGGGATACATCTGATCCTTATGCAGAATACGATGTTCATAAAGGAGCTCCAAAGAAAGAACCTGGAGCTTTGGGTGCATCGGATGTAGGAAGAGGATTTTCTAATCTGTTTGGATTACGTACTGCCGAACAATTGGAAGAACAAAATGATGAACATTTAGAAGGATTAAGTGCGAAAGTTCGAATTTTAAAAGATATCACTGTAGGAATCGGAAATGAAGTTAGAGATTCTACCAAAGATTTGGATTCATTGGTATGTATATCGTAAGAGATGAAAGTCCCACAAATATGCTTACCTCTTTCTCATCTCTTCTTCCAGGGAGAAGCTTTCAGCAATAGTTCTGCATTTCTAGGAAATACGTTTAACCGAATGAAACATATGGCTTCACGTCAAGGTAGCTGGCATTGCAATATGTTCTTGTTCGTCCTTTTCATCATTTGGATCTTCGTAAGTCTTGACAGCGAGCCGAGTAACGAGGGCTAAAATTAACTCACATTTCCTCTTTTTCGCAGGTCATATTGTGGTGGTGGCGACGTTAACTCAGCTCGACATCCAGTAAAAATTCATTGTACAGTATTGCATCTTCTTACACAAAAAACACATTGAACAATCTCACATTCTTTCTCCTTGTGTGATCGTCACTTTTCTTTTATTCGTACGAGTGATATTCATATTGTCAGAATCGGAAACTGAAAGGCATAAGCCGTACACATGCGGATGTGGTAATGCACGTTGAAATCACATCATGCAAATCATTACTGATCTTTTGTATGAAGATGAAATCAAGTGCATTAAAGTGGTGGGGATGGAAAAGAAGAATTGAGAAAGTAAAAGATGAAAGAAAGAAAAGGGAGGTAAAGTCGTAAAAGAATCGAAAGTGACGTTGATATCGAATGGAGTGGATAAGTGCCTCTCAGCCACTAAAGTAAGGTATTTGGATGCGGCCTTCGATGATGAGTGAAGATTTGACCGGAAATCATGCACGGTGATTACTCATAAGAAAGTAAGAAAGTTGACAAGAAGACCTTGAGATCGAAAGCGAAGGAAGAGAGAGAGAGAGAGAAAAAAAGGCCGCAAAACTGCAGCTGCTATACAAGAGAGATGAAATAAAGATAATAACATCTAGTTGCGCAGAGAGAATCCCTTTCTTGACTTTCCTTGGCTGTATGCGTTTGCCTTTTCGGGTGTTAATGGTCTTCCGTTTTCTAGCCGTCTCTTCTTGTCTTCCAATTCCAGCCTTTGCTTGTCCAATTGATCTCTCATTTCGCGGTGACGAGCATAAAGTTCTTCTTCGCTCTGTTTCAATTTGGCTTCCTTTTCGGCAACCTTTTGTTGGAAGACGAGCTTCATCTCGTTTTCCATCTTTTGTAGCTTGGCTTCGTGTAATGCTCTTTCTTCTGCCATCTTTGCTGCTGGGTTCACTTCTTTGAACACAGAGTGATCTTGTGTAACTCCCATTCCGACCAACTTTTCGCTACGGTATCTTTCATAAAGGTTGTCATGGGTGTGCTCTTTCAATTCTTCCATATGCGAGCGGATCAACATTTGACGCAATTTGACAAAGTCACAGTGATCCTCATTGTCCACTTCAATCACACCCCATGGGTATGCTCGGCCTCTCACACGCCTTCCGTCAGGAGTGTCAATTTCTGTGTCAGATCCGACAACAGCAAATGGAATCTTGCGGACAATCTCTTCATTTTCAGCAATAGTTTCTTCGTCTTCGTTCTCGTAAACGGGAGCATGGAAGATTTGGATTTGGTGGTGTGTGATATCGGCCAAGATACGAGCCTTGAATTGTACGATTTCTTCGTCAGTCATTGTATCAGATTTTGCGATAACAGGAATTAGGTTGACCTTTTGATGCAATCTACGCATGAATTCGATATCGATTGGACGAAGAGCGTGACCTGTGGGTTGGACAAAGTACAAGCATGCATGAACACGGTTGTCGACCAATTTAGCACGGTTCACACGATTCTCTTGTTCCAAGTATGCATCGAATCTTGACTCGATATTGTCCACGATTGGCTTCCAGCTATCGTCATTGTTTACAAAATCACCGAAACCGGGTGTATCGACGACGGTCAAACGAAGGCGGACACCATTTTCGACGATATCTGCGCTGATACTTTCGATTGCAACTGTTTTTGATCGTTCTTGAGATGGAGGTGGAACTTCTTTCTTTGGGTAAAGACGAGTGTTGAACAAAGTGTTGATCAAAGTTGATTTACCTAAACCGGATTCTCCCACAACCATACAAGTGAATGTGAAACCTTTACGAACACTTTTGCGATGAACTTGATTGGGCAAATTGGCAAAACCAACGTAGCCCATCAATTTCTTCCGTGCCAGACTGGCAGGTGGAACTCCGTTTGATGCGGTGGTTGCCATTTTGTCGATATGAGAAAAAGGTATCAAAATCCGAAAAGGGAGATAGGGTTAGAGCAAGAAGGCGAATCCGAATTCGATTCCGATCTGCTATACTCTACGTCGAATGAAGAATAATCAAATTTGCCGTTGAAAGGTGTTGGGCTGAACCTTTGTTCAAGATGGCTTTTGATTGATAATGATGTTCCTTTTGACAGAGACGGATGATGAGGAAGCGAATGTCAATGCAGCATTCAAAGTCATTTTGGCTTTGCTTCTTTGCTCACACACACACACACACCTATAATGCGCACACGCTACCCTCTCTCTTTTTTGCCTTGTGCTCGAGCACATGAACGGTCTTGGAAGAATTGACTAGTGCCCGGTGCACCACTAAAGGGGGGAAACACAACCATTTTACCACGTAGCAAGCATTTGCACTCTTTCTATATTCAAGCGTGCGCCGCGCCCGCACAAACACAGTGTGAGAGCGGGTGCACAAAATGCATATAAAATTCAATTTTAACGCTAAAAAGCCCTTCTTTTAACTTTATTGCTGGCTGGCTGGCTGGCTAAATGATATGGCTCGCTGGCCCTAAAGATTAAAGCAGAGGCTGGAATTAGCGCGGTGCCGACAAAAGAGAAGGATTGCGTAGAGGTGTGACAATAGACGGTAAAAAGCGGACCGTCTATGGGACACAATGACAGAGGTATTCAAAATATACAAATGAATGTTAGATCGATTGACATTCGTACCAAATGAGCAAAAGACATACCCAACCAGAAGATCATGAACACAATCACGTGTTAGTCTCAATTCATGCAGCTTTTCAGGCTAGAAGAATGAATGACACATACGCGTAGGCTGTGTCTATCCTAAAACGCGCTCTTAGTTTTTTGCTTAAAGCTTGAATCTCCACCCAGCTTAGTGATCATCACCATCTCCTACTCTACTTCTTTGAGACGATGAAGCTTACGCCTGAACTGATCAGTCGAAGTGAAACATCTCTCAACACTCTAAAAGATAGACAACTCGATCTACGAGGTCACAAGATTCCAGCGATTGAAAATTTAGGTGTGACAAGGGATCAAAATGATACGATCGATTTGACAGATAACGATATTCGTACGTTAACTAACTTTCCAAACTTATTCCGTTTGCACACCTTGATATTATCCAATAATCTCGTCAATCGGATAGACAAAAGGTTAGCCAACTCACTTCCTAACCTCAACACGTTGGTCTTAACAAACAATGCCCTCGCCGAATTGAGCGCTTTGACGCATTTAGGTAGATTTCCAAAGTTGGAATTTTTGACCTTGATGGGCAATCCGGTCACACGAAAGCAGCACTATCGGGAGTTCGTCGTTTGGAGATGTAAATCACTACGAGTTTTGGACTTTCAACGTGTGAAGCAGGCAGAGCGAGCAAGGGCGAAATCTTTAATGGAAACTGAAGACGGAAGGCCTACATCCTTGGCTGTTTCCCTCTCCGAATCTTTGGCTGGTAAGGATGGAGGGATTGCCACCAACGGAGTCGGTGAAAAACCTTCAAGCGGTAGAACTGGCACTTTCGAAGTTGGTTCGGTTGGAGTCAACGGAGGTGGATCAGCTGGAAGAAGGATGACAGCGGATGAAAGGAAAGCTCTAGAGGAGGCGATCGAGAACAGCACGAGCCTAGAAGAGATTAAAAGATTGGAGGATCGTCTAAGACTAGGTTACACCATCTAGAGAGGTGCTAAAATGCTACCCTGTACTATCAGCAACGTGTACTTTTACTGCATGTATTATCATATCTAATCGATTCAACTGTATATCACATAATTAATCTTTACGGGAAGATGCTTCGCCGATCTTTCCTTGAGCGACCAATTTTCCATCCACTCGCTTTTCCACTTCTTCTGCCAATTCCTTCAGTCTATCGAGATTTGTTCCGATCAATGAAACATCAACGCCTTCTCCAAAGTTAGGATAGGAACCAACTTTAATATCTTCTGGTTTGCATTTATCCGTTAATTCGACCAAAAAGGGAGAAATGTTACTCTCTGGCTTCTTGGTATGGATCAATAGTCTGTAAGGTCTTGGTCTGTTTGGATCAATGGGCACATATGGCTCTAGCCCATCCAAAAGAGCTTCAAAGAGACGAGGAATTCCGGGTAAAATACAAAGTCTTCCATGCATTCTTACAACCGGCACCCATAATTGTGTTGTAGGGAAGATGATCTCTGCATCACGACCGGGAAACAAAGCCATTCGCTTACGTGCAGTGATCATATCTTCTGTCACTTCTCCTTGTCCTGCATCACGTCTGCGTGCTTTTAGGTTTTCTTCCATCCTTCGAAGTGTTTCATCGTGATATTTCAGTGGTTCGGCGTCGAATGCTTTTGCGATTGATTCATACGTGATATCATCTGGAGTCGGTCCAATACCACCACTTGTGATGACCAAATCGTACTTTGAGGTCAGCCTCTTTGCAGCTTCAACGATATCGCCAACATCATCCGGAATAACTTCAATCCTTCCTAGATCAATACCCAAATTGAAGCACCATTTAGCGAAATAATTTGAATTTGAATCACGAGTCTTTCCGTTCAATACTTCATCACCAATGATAATACAAGCTGCATTTTTGACAAAATTTCCCTCTCCTAGCGGATTCGAGCCAATTGGCGATTTTTCAAAAGTAGGTAAATCCATCAAGAATTTTGATGAATGAAAGTTTGATCGTTGAACTTTTGACAAAGAGGGTGAGAGATGGGATGTGATTGATGATAAACGCAAATTTGTTGTTGTTGATTTAAACGTTGATCGAGCGGTTTGTTGTAATCTGACAGGATTCATGGATAATGTTCAAAGACAATAATCCTCCTAAACGTTGTAATGGTTTCTAAGAAAGGAGTTGTTGGATTGCTTTTGCTCGCCTTAATCTTACGTACGCCAAATCAAAGTGGAGAGTTTGACAGGGCGCTAGTGCTGCAAATGTGCGCGGACCAAATGTAAAATCTTCTTCAGCTCACGATCCTCAACCATCCAGCGTAGATGTACCTATGGATCAAGGTACTACCTCTTCACGTCTTACGATAGAGAAGTTGGACAAGCTGTGCAGTTATGACGAATTTCTAGATCAATATTTGATACCCAATAAACCATGCATCTTACCATTCGAGCTGGTGAAAGAATGGCCAGCATTCAAGGAATGGCTGCCTGCATTAGATGGTAATGATGATCGAGAGGCTGATGACTTTCTCGATCCCGCCTTTGCCATTCTTGCAACACGTTATGGCAACCATGAGGTTCCAATAGTGATCGAGAACTTAAGGGAAGAGGAAGACTCTGAGGACCGTTTCGAGAGACAGGAAGTGCATTTATCACAAGCTGTAGCAATGATGGCAGAAGCTAAAAAGACAGGCAATGCACGCATATACATCAAAGATTGGCATATGATAAGACAAGAAAGAATGCTGAGATCTGACACGAATGAGCCATACACTACACCGTCTCTTTTTGCTGATGATTGGATGAACAACGTCAAATCCGAAGCAGATGATGATTTTAGGTTTTGCTATGCAGGTTCTGCTGGTACACGAACAGTGATTCATCGAGATGTGTATACATCTTATAGTTGGTCTACCAATATCGTCGGTAAGAAGATTTGGAGACTATTCCCTCCAACAGCCAAAACGCATTTACGTCAATTTCCTCAAAATGCCAACTCTGAATTAGCAAGAGGTGTAGAGGAAATGGAGAAGCATAGAACAGCGGGCAAGCTGAAAGCCATCTCAACAGGAGGCGTAGGATGGCCAGAATGGAAGAAAGCGATGGATCAATGTCATGAAGTAGTACAGGAAAGCGGGGAAACAATCTTTGTTCCAAGTGATTGGCATCATGAAGTGATCAATTTGACGGATTGTATCAGTTTAAATCATAATTGGTGCAACTCATGCAATATCAAGAGTATGTACAAGTCCATGTGTGAAGAAGTTGAAAAGACAGAAGAAGCAATCTCGGATGTTCGTCAAATGATGCAAGAATCGGATCCACTCAAATGGCAAATCGAATGGACGGAAACTGTGCAAAGGATTGTCGCTGCAAACGCTGGATGGGCTTGGGAAGGTTTTTGGGATATGGTTTTGCAGAATCTCGAGAATCCACCATGTGAAGTGAGTACTATAAAGAGTTAATGATGCAACGGATTTACTGACACTGTCTCAATACTGATATAGGAAGTGCTTCGTCCCAAAGAAGAATGGGTGAAGATGCAATTAAGACCTTGCATACTAGATTTCGTGAATCGAAACGATTTTCCGTTTCTGTGCGATTCGATCAAATGTAATCCTATATTGTACAATTTGTAGGTCGAATAGAAATGAGTGTCATTCTCAACCATATGCTCAGATGCACTTTATAGTCATTGAAAAGGTGAATTTGCAATATGATGCCCTATTCCGATCCGGCCGAATGAACAAGCAACTATATCCGATCAACGCCGGTCAAAGAAAGCGGGGAAGACTCGTTGAGCGCCAAGCCGTTGCATGAATGAATGAGGGGGAGAATCCCACTCAACGCGGGGGCAAATGCATGAGCAGCTCAACGGTCAACAGCATTCTTACTCTTTATCAGTGGGACCTTGATTCGGCTAAACAGTCATTCTTATGGACAACTTCTTCTTCTTTCTCAACTTTCATCCCATCCCTCTTCTTATCCTTAAAGATGTCTACTGGTTCAAACTTGAACTTCGACAAGCTTAGACCGGGACAAACGCCATTTGGTGTTGGACCATTTGCTTCCCGTCGTTCAACAGTGATGGGAACAAAAGGTATTGCATCATCTTCAAATCCATTAGCAAGTGCGGCAGGAATCAAGATTCTTGAACAAGGAGGAAATGCGGCAGATGCAGCAATTGCAGTTGCAGCAGCTTTGAACGTAACTGAACCATGTTCTACTGGAATTGGAGGTGATGCATTTTGCTTGTTTTGGAATGCAAAAGATAAAACTGTTAAAGGTTTGAACGGTTCGGGTAGATCACCTGGAAAGCTAACTTTGGAAAGCTTGAAAAAGCAAGGCCTGAAACAAATCCCGCTCACAAGTGTACATTCAGTTACCGTACCTGGAACGGCAGCAAGTTGGGTTGATACTCGTGAGAGGTTTGGATCGGGTAAATTAACATTGAGTCAAATTTTAGCACCTGCGATTTCCTTGGCAGAAGATGGTTTCCCGGTTCATGAATTCACAGGACAAGCTTGGACAGGATCAGAAGAAAAGCTTAAAACGTCTTCGCCCAATGGTGGTGAAATGCTCTTGCCAAACGGAAAAGCACCAAAAGCAGGAGATATCATGCGTTTACCCAATCTGGCCAAAACTTTCCGTACGTTAGCAGAAGGAGGCAAAGAAGCTTTTTATCGTGGTAGAATTGCAGAAGCAATTGTGGAAGTATGCAAATCTTTGGGCGGTTGTATGAAATTGGATGACCTTGAACATCATTTAAGCGTTGGTACGGAGCCTATTGAACCGATCTCTTACGAATATGGAGCATCAAAAGAAGGCGCAGGTGATGCTGTAACACTTCATGAATGCCCTCCTAATGGACAAGGATTAGTTGCTTTGATCGCATTGGGCATCCTTGATGCTCTTCAAAGGGATGGCAAAGTTCCCGATTTGACAAAGCTGGAACATAATTCGCCAGAATACCTTCATGCTCTCATCGAAGCATTACGATTCGGATTTGCAGATGCTCATCAATACATCGCCGATCCACATTACGGTGGTTCCGATCGTGTGAAAGGGTTATTGAGTCGCTCTTATCTGGATGAAAGGGCAAAATTATACAACCCATCAAAACAAGTTGAAATCGAGCATGGAAATCCTCCTTATTCAAGTGACACAGTGTACATGACATGTTCTGATTCAGAAGGAAACGCATGTTCATTCATTCAGTCAAATTATGCCGGTTTTGGATCTTGCATCATTCCAAAAGGATGTGGTTTCACTTTGGCAAATCGTTGTTGTACATTTAGGTTCGAAGAGAATTATCCAAACAGCGTTGGACCACGCAAGAGACCTTACAATACCATCATTCCCGCCATGGCAACCAAACGTGGACAAGATGGTAAACCAGAACTATTCCTTTCTTATGGTGTGATGGGAGGATTTATGCAACCACAAGGACATGTTCAAGTTTTGTTGAACCTCCTACGTGGTTACACACCTCAAGCCGCAATTGATGCTCCTAGATTTTGCATTGGAGCAGGTACACCTGATCAAGGCGCAATGGATTCAACCGTTTATATGGAAAACGGAATTGATGAAAAGACGATTGAAGAATTAAACAAGAAAGGTCATCTTGCCAAACCTGCAAAGACATGGAACGAACGTGTTGTCTTTGGACGTGGTCAAATTATTGCTCGCATCAAAACTGACGTTCACCATTCCACCGATAAAGGATGGGCTTGGGCTGCAGGATCCGATCCAAGAGCTGATGGTTGCGCTATTGCACAAATTTGATCACCTTTCAGCAACAACAAATGCAGTCACATAATCTCCATCATGTGTGATGCTTAAATGCAATCGAGGCCCATCGCTCTCTTGATATTTTTCCCACTCTTCTTCCAATTCTTTCGTATACCGTAATATGGGCCGCCTTGTGCCTTCTATATAAGTCAAAAATGCGTCATGCCAATTCAATTGACGAGGATGTGAAACGCTAGAGATTGCTTTGAATGCTGCTTCCTTTACTGCCCATCTGTAGAATAAGTCAAGGAGGGAGTGTCAGTCATGCAAAAAGTGTCCATTTTGATCCAACTTACACTTTTGCTAATTGTTGTATCTGCTTATCGCTGATCTGCTCGTTCTTGTCCACTTTATATGATGACCATGTCTCTAGCTCTTTATCATGCATTATTCTTCTGGCAAGCTGTTGTGCCGCCTGAAGCTGCGCTCCTTGCAAACCATTTATTGATGAGGATGAAGATATCCGCTTTGCTTGTCGTGCGATCAAGGACCTCAGTCTCGGAACGAATATCATATCCACACCTACTCCAACAACAGCTAAAGATGCTAAAGCAGGCTTCGTATTTGTACTATTCTGTCCTCGTTGAGAACTATGGCGAGAGGATCGGAAAGAGATTCAGCGTATATTCTTTCTCAAATCGGCACGCATGGCTATAAATAAACATCATTATCATTACATGCTTACAAAGACTCTATCTCTTGCCGATTAAAAGATACCTACTTTGTTTTCTTGTCTAAAGCTTCTTGCGCTTTTGCTTTTGCTTCCGCAATTTGTTGTTCAACGAAATCGAATGCATAATCTACTGCATGTTCTACCGGATGATCGAACATGAAGGGCTGATAAAGAGAAGAGAAGAATGTTAGCACATCTTACGTGATAAACATCTTCTAGTCATACTCACCAAAGCGGGAACAGCTGCCAAACCGGCAATCGTTGGTCCGGATCCTCGAATGCGTGCATTAGCAGAACGTGCAAAGAGAGGAGCAGAATAACGAACGATACTATGAATCGTAAAAGCGGGCAAAGCCATACTTGCCAGACTTTGAAAAACAGCTCTACGTGCAACGACCAAGCCGACATGCATACCTTCACTTGCTTCAAGAGGGTTATACTTGATCACATTTGGAAGTGCATTTTCATCTTTACTCGTCAAATTGTTTTCCATTTGACGCTTTCGTAATTCAACCTTTTGGCCTGGCGATAATGCATCTACTGTCTTTTCCGCAACAGATGGAAGTGTACCTTGTCTCTCCTTGTGTGCCAAGTATCCTGCATATCCACAATCACCCAAACTGGCAATGAAATAGGAATATAAGCTATTGACTGATAGATTACTTCACTCTTCTGCCACTCACATGTATGCCCATGATATTCCATATGCAGATCGAACAATCAAAGGATTGGTCAAAGGTCTGAATGCCTCTCCAATATCGGATGAATATGCGATATCTGTAAAGCAAAGAAGATGTCAAATGCATATCCTCACCTAACCTGAATCATATTCTACTCACATCTACTTGAAGCAGTGATTAGTGTACGTAATCGCATAGCAAAAGCCGCATAACGAGATGGACCTTCTTCTATGGCAGCCTGAAGTTCATCCGGTTTCTCTAGGCCTGACATTTTGATGGAGGAGATAGGTTGTGGTTGTAAGTATAATGTAGTACATTCTGTTGATGCCCAAAGCACTTCCATGGACCAAAAAAGTGCCTTAACGGGAGACGGAATACTAAACGCGTGCTTATCTCCTTGGCCTGCTTTAATTTTTAGAAGAAGTTCCTTTGTTCTCGGAAAAACATAATCGTTTGCTTTTAACCATCCCTTTATACGATCTTGAAAAAGAACAATGTTGACTCAGATATGAAAGGTATAACGTCCATAGCAAGAGGTATGGCTGCTTCGACTTCATGTCAGCGCTTGCCTGCTTTGATCGATATATCGGTCAGACCTTCCTTGCAAACGGCAAAACTTTCGCCAATCGTCTGTTCGCCATATCCGAGTAGATCACCTTGGATTGCACGACAGAGCAGTACTTCAACAAGTACGATTGGGTCATTAAATCAAGAAAGTATCGTGACACAGCCACAATCAGAAAGAGCGGCTGAAAGCAGGGTGTTGTTCACCTCTGGAAGAAGGAAGCTAGGTAGAAATGCCGACTTTAAAGAATTGAAGGATATCAGCGAGGGAACGACATTAGCTCTGCTCAGAGTTTTGGGTATATTGGATACGGAGAGCTATAGCCAAACCGGTAGAGCCCTACAACATACGCAAGAAGTCATTCAGAGAAGGTATCCAGATCTGAACTCTCGTCAGGTAAACTTGCAAGCAATTTTGGTCCATTTACTTCGTACGTCATCAAGGATTGGCAATAGAGTCTCACCGGAGGAGTTGATACGCATACATTGGAGCTTGGTGAAGGATCCGAATTCAATACTTGAGAAGCTTGTGAAAAGTGTCCCATCAATGGAGGATATTTCAAAGATTACCCTACAAAAGATACCCATGTGCCAAGAAAGTTTGCAAACATTCAAAACCTTACTCAAACATACACGCAAACACAATAGAACGAGATTGTTCAATATCATTAGAAATTATGCACGTCGTTTCTATTTTGGAACTGATTCACACTTGTTACAATCATCAAAAGAGAGGATGAAGCGACAGGCAGAGATGGAACAGGTGGATGTGATGGTTCAATCTTTGATGCTCTCTTCTTCTGCCAAGCGAGCATTTCATCACAATTTGACAAACAGAGGCGGATTGGCTCGAAAAGGCAGAATGAGATCAACAAGCTCTCCCCAAAGCATCTTCAAGTCCCATAATGATATCCACGTCATGTCTAAAATATTACGTACACGTTATGGAGCACTGAAGCCAAAAAGAGTTCAAAGTTCGCAGGATGTTGATTCGAAGATTGAATATCGTCTATCCAGACATGCTGCTGATTCAGCACATCCACCGCTACATCACAGTCGCAGGACGAGAAAGGTGAATCGTCTCATTCAAAGAGCTATGTCAGGTGGACAGATGCCAAGACTACGACCTACTACTTCTATGCTTGCCCCTTCCACTGAACTTTATGAAGAAAAAGGCTCAAGAGATAATGCCTCACAAACGCTGCTCAAGAGCGTCGAAAAGACATTTCCATCATTCCTGAAGAAGAACAAGGAGAGCGAAGCAGCGATGAGAGCAATAGACGAGGCAATGCCGACTTTACAGGAAAGGGCGGCAAAGATGGATGTTATCGATCGTGAAGTTCGAGCATGGCGTGAGAATGTACGTCTTTGGCATTTGAGAAGGGCAAATGTGACGAAGAATCTGATAAGAGTGGCTACTGAATCTTCAAACGATTCAAATGTGCCTGACCCTCAATCTCAAGAATGCAAACCTCCTCCTTTGTTACCGACTTGGCTCTTTTCGGCAGCTTTGCAAGCACACGTTGAAACGGGTAGACCACGTATGGCAAATCATATTGTTCAACTTTATTTACAGATGCTCTATCAGAATAGAGATGTGAAAAGTGAACAATTGGTTCACATTTTACCCGTCAGTCCGTCCATCGTTCGAGCTATAACAAATCCTTTACATCCGCCACGTTCAGAAATGGTTCTGAATGCTCTTTTGCGTGTTCAGCTTATGAGCGGAATGACGGATGCTTGGGAAGCGATGTTGAGCGTAATCGAGAAATGGTGCAGCGGAGGAGAAGGATTTGCGGATAAAGTTCGAAAAGCATGTGGTATGAAATCAGTTGAAGAATCCAACATTCTGGATGCACATCGAAACCTTCGCCCGCACCAAGATACAGGTATGGCTTGCCTTCATCCAAACGAAACAAGTATCCTGCTCGTGTTGGAAGCTTTAGGCACACGTCATGGAAGAAAAGCCAAAGCCAAAGCTGTGGTGAAGGAAGCGCTTTTGCGATGGGGACCTGAAGATATGATACCTGATTCTCTCCAACCAATTCTTGAAAGTTCACCAAGGGGTCATAATTCCACGTTTACTCCAACTACACGCACCTTTCGAGCCCTTTTGCGAATCGCATTTGGCTACAACAAAGACCGGGCATATAACAATGCCGTTCTGCAGCTATTTGATGAATGGCTTGAATGTATCAACCTCAAAGCCCTCTCTTCTGGGTATGAGACAAGTGTGTCCCAAGTCAAGTCATTGATGTTCCACCGTGTTGCCTACGAAGCACATAGAGAACAATCGAGATGGAAAAAGGTCATCAAAAAATGTTTACGTGAACGTCAAATCACAGAAGAACAAGCAAACGAAGTTCTTGCAAAGAGCTCGTTTAAATTCTGATTCATCTTCCATATGATAATTGATGTTATACACATGATGGAACTGGGAGTGAAACTTTACAACGTCCGTGATTTGGGTGAAGCAAAGCTAATCACGTGTGTTCGTTGTGCTCTCCGTCATACCCGAGTGAGGAGTGTGAAGTGAAAGCATGGAAAGGAGGGCAGAGGAAAGACAAATGTTGATGTCAAGTGTGCCATTTCTTCTGTTGTGCCACTTGTTTGAATGCTATGTCATGATCCGATCTTGAGCGACGTACGAGATGATCATTCATGAATCTCGAAAGGTTTTATCCGGTCGGCTTTTGAATGCGGATGAGAAGAGGCCACCAACAGTCTCTTCTTATTCCGCCGTCATCATTTTCTCCTCATTCCACCGTCATCATCCTATTCACATTTTACAGTCATCACCCTCTTCTCACTCCTCCCTCTTCTCCCTTTAGGTGTTTATGTTTAGAGGAGGGTCTTTGGAAAATTGCGAAACGAGAAGTTCTGGCTCATCTTACTCTCGTTACGCCAACAAGTCGGACAGGATAGACGCTTCATTGATGAAGTGTATTTGATCTGTCATCCAAACAGGTATGCGCTCAAGACCGATGCTTCTTCGACTGCCAGTGATCGCTTACAAGAGCACCGTGAATGCGGGTGTAGAGTCATCCTCGAATAAAGAAAATTTTACCCGACTTGATCGACCTTACTTCAACCCAACATATAACGAGGAACTTCTTCGGCAATGTTGAACGGAGGAGAAGCAGTCAGAAAGTGTGAAGTGGGAGCAAGAATCAAGAGGGCAGAAGAAAGACAAATGTTGATGTCAAGTGTGCCATTTCTTCTGTTGAAACTACTCCGCTGACTCGAGATGAATTCTGTGTGGCATCTGGAGCAGTCTCTTGATGAATTCTGTGTGGTATTTTGTGTTGAATCTTAAGACTTGCATCATTTCTTTTGTTGAGACTTGCACTATTTCTCCTATTAAGACTGCTGCGCTGACTCTTGACGAACTCTGTTTGGTATCTGGAGCAGTCTCTTGATGGATTCCGTGTGGTATTTTGTGTTGAGTCTTGCACCACTTCCGTCTGTTGAGACTGCTCCGCTGACTCTTGAAGAATTCTGTGTGGAATCTTGCGTTAAGTCTTGCACTTCCACCTTCCTCCCCTCCTTCTGTCCTTCCTCCTTCTCAGGACCGTTAGTCTGGATCCA